GGCTATGAGGAGGCAATCATAGGGCATCACTCATATTTTGCCTCGAGCCTCTATCTTTCGCCTTTTTTTTGTTGCTTGCCGTTGGTCGCGGGTCCGACGTCTACGATAGAGACACTCTCTCTCATTAGTCTATCTTTTTACGAATTCCTTCCCATACCATTGCGTAACGTGTTTGAATTGATACACTTCACTTTGCTTTCCCGTGTTTGTATCTCTACCATCGTAGTCACCATCACCGGCCGTCGTCGTGGCGGAAACGAGTTGGGCGACTTTTCGTTATACGTATCGTACTGCATTTAGAATTTTTTTCCAGATTTTTCCGGGTGCCGCCGGACTGTTGGACCCCCAGGTCGGAGATTCGGCGCTGGGGGACTCGGACTGGCTCAGTGTACCGGCGATTTCTCCGGGGCGTGGGAGCAGTTCGCTGGAGGCTTGAAGCTCCAGTAGTTAGCTATGGAGAGGGGAGTTGGGGTTCGTTTCCATTCCCAGTACCTAGGTATGATACAGTGTATCATATAATCTAAGGGACTCTTCCACCACATCAAGAAGCTTTCATGAAGAATCGAAGCGGAAGGGTACATCTAAACCACATTAAAAAAATCATATCAAGAGCTGCTTAAGACTAAAGTTAAACCCCAGCCAGGGGTCCTTTCCAAATACGGCATATCACTCGCCCAAAACCTCAGACCCCCCCCCCCACCTCCCCATCCCGAAATCCGAGCAACGAAGATAAACACTACCAACACACAAATTCAGACCCATCCCAATCGCTTTCCCACACTTAGGGAAGTTGTACTCCACAGTCCCCGACGTGACCGGCTGATAGTGGCGAAATGTGATGTCGCCTCATCCTCCATCTGCATGTAAACATCCATCTAGCGACCCCTTAGACAATAGACCACCGGTGGGGGTGCCATCAATAAACAAGCAATCGAGTAACCCCGGAAGAAGCCACAACACAGCCGGTAATGTGAGCGTTGCTCTGAGCGAGCAGAGGGTCATGCCCCCGGAGGGGGAGGTGGTGAAGGGGGAAATTTGATTATTCGGATCTGAGGGCAGAGGGGGAGGGAAGGGAGGGCATAGTATTGAACAATAAGGCAAGGAAGGCTATCATAATAATATTATTTAGGTGTGGATGATATACTCGAGTATTAATATGATAATATTATTATGGGCTATGAAAGGCATGGTTCCGGGGAATGGGTATGATAGTGGGAGGAGGCGAAGGGAAGTCTTACAGATTTTAGGGATCGGAGTTGGGTGGGGTGGGGAGAAGGGGTTTGCGGGGTTTGAGGGTTGTGGTGTATTCATATAATATTATTATGGCGTGGTGGTGGGAGGGCCATGAGTGTGGTCGACCCGAGAGCCCGATTGTTTGTTGAAGGTTTTTTGCTAAGGTGGTATACACCACTGGTAGAATGGAGCTGGGGAGGATGGTGAAATCTAATGTCAGGTGGATTAAGAATTTGTAAAACACTAAAGACAATTCCAAGTCTCCCACACCTACTAGGTCTTTACCTCAAGGAGTGCAAGCGCCAAAGCTCCCGTGCCTTCCTAATCTAAAGTAGACAAAGCCAACCACACCCTAGCATTAGAAAACAGAATAAAAGAACAGCCCACTTCCCCGCAGGCTAAGAACCCCAGCTTGCCTACAGGGCATGCAGGTACGGGGCGTCGTTTTCACAGCCTATGATACGACACTATGCATACCAGTAGTCTCGAAGCATTTTTGAAAGAGTTGCCTTTGCATATCACCATGATCCAAGCAAACGATCCAAATCGTGGTGGTGTATCATATATGCAACGGTAGTCCTTCTCTAAAAATGCCAGGACATTATGTGTAGGAGGGTAGAGTTTGGGTGTTGCCTTTGGCTCCCTTATGTCATGCTGGCTGCTATCGGCGTCGGGCATCTGTTTGGCATAGGGTATCAAATTCGGGGCATAGTTTCCACGTTGGTCCGGATGTTGTTGCTTTCTTGGTCGTTTGGCTAGTCTTAATTCCCGTCGTTGCCCGAGTTTTCCTCTGGATTTGGTTCCCGTTTTTGGAGTTCGTAGAGTCCTGTCCCGGTCTCCGGGGTTGTTGGCTGTTTTTTTTTTGGGGGGGGGTGCACTGTTAGTCTCCTGGTATGATATGTCCATTGGCTAGGGTCTCTGCCGATCGTCCGGTTCGGCGATTCTCGTATCTATTACGCCTTCACTGCTTGATCATTTGATCGTTTGCCTTAGGTGTATTCCATACCTCTAGGCCACCCTCTACACACCACCGGCATTGGAATCATTTCTTCCTACTCCAAAATTCTCCCTTGTACCCTCCGCCCCTTCTCATCGAGCATCCCTTCTCCGTTGGGCTCCGGGGTAGGACTAGCGCACGTCACCCTACTCTCCTTCACAATGAGGCCGAAGTCAGCGGACATCACCCCGATTCCCCGAAAATCACTTCTATCATCATAATTTTCGTTTACTAAATACCCGGCCGAATCATCACATTCCTCCTTAGCACTCTGCGGGCACACCCACTCCACGCGGGATGTAACTCTTACCGTACTGTAGGTTGATCACAATAAGTGTGGGAAGGTGAGGGTGGGGTTACGATTAACCGAAAGGTATCGGGGTATCATATGTGTGAGGTCGGGGACGATGCCGGTGGCGCTTTCGGGTGGAGTTAGTTGGTACGGAGGGGGGCAATATAATGTATCTCGTTTTCGAGAGAGAATTGTGGAAGATAGAGGGGATATGGTTGTTTGGTGATTAGAGCGTTTGGCCGGTGGGGTTTGGTTATTGTAATGATCGGATGGGACGGATGTTTGACGGATGGTGTGGGCGGCGAGGTCGCCGTTTGCGGACGGGCCTAGCATACTTTCTCTGGCAAGGGTGTCAGTATCAATGACACCTGGAGGAAGTCGATGAAGGAACTGTGAATGGGAAGAACAGGAATAATAAGAGTGATAGCCGAGGGAGAGAGGAACGGCAACACCTACCCGAACCCAACTGTAGACGAACAAAGGATGTCGACGAGGCATTCGAGAGCACGCGGAAATCCCCTTACCGACTAGCGTGTTGAGATTTGTTTTCGAGTGAGGGGGTATGATGGGCGATTCACTAAGTTCCTAGAAGTATAAAATACGATGCAAGAGTATCCAGAAACCAATGTTCCTCTCCAATTCTCACTCTTTCCTACAGGATACTGCTACAACAGCTCTTAGAGTCCTTCAGACAGGGAAAGCAAGAGCGTAGATTCTGGATATAAGAAAGAGACAGGGAATCAGAATCCCCCTCCATAAAGGAAACGAAAATCCTAGTCGGAGCGGTGAGTTAACAGTGGAGATGCTGATTCCTTCTATCAAAATCTTATATCGAGGATTTACTAAGACCAAAACAAACCCTAAAGCAAGCCCGAGCAAGACTAGTAGTCGGATTTTAACTATCATACTTCTTTCGGAGCCTTGTCGGCACCACGGAGGTAATTATATCCTCACGAGTGGTTAGGAATTGAAGCTAAGCATGGGCCTTCGCTATCGTCCATCGGAAACCAATTGAGAAAGATACCAAACCATCTTTCCCACTACATCCGTGGCATTTGCCATTGACCCCCTCTTCAACCTAAGCCTGTCTCCAGGTGCACAGCTTCTCAAAAACCCACTACAGAGCCAGCGCGGGTGGCGGGCAGAGAGATCCAGACCTCCGCAAGCCCTCTCTCGTAATGGGGATGATCCTGGACGGGAGATAAAGTGCCTGTCCACCCGACCTAACCCCGCCCGTCATCGTAATCCGGTCGAAAAGTGCCCCGCCCGCAGGTCCAGGAAGCTGCGGATAATACACCCTCCGATAGACCCGATACAGAATTACCAACGTAAGACCTATCCACCCACGGAATTCCCTCGGGACCAACTCCCAGCCAGCCTGCGAGTGTGGGGTTTCGCCAGCAGATACAAACATCCGGACCATGCAGACTTGACTAATCCGAGCGATCCACCCTTCGGATACCTCCCCCTGGGACAATCCGGACATACAACGGGGAACATTGGTGATGGATTATCACGAGTGACTACTACAACTAAAACATCGGTTACAGCACCTGGCCGGGAACGCGTTGATAGGCATGTCAGAATGCGAGTCTGGGTAAATACACGCTGCTGTACCATTCACTACTCTGCAGAGGAATAACGGTCCCCAGGCAGAGCCGTCCAGTCCGCCCTAGACGAGGTCGAGACGAGGCGATGGCAGTCGACTGCGGACACCTGGGATCAGCCAGTGCACCCAGTTAGACACACTGGTACCACAACAAGTTGAAATAAAAGTGAAGATAAAATAAAGGTGAAATAAGCGGATAAAACAGAGCAATGACACCCATAAAAAAAGTCCCAAGACCATCGTCGTCCGACTAGACGACTAGGAACACCGTAGGATGTTCCTTACCACACCCTACCAAACAGGACCTCACCTCAACACCCATATCATACACACAACAAAGCGTAGCATCCGCATGTCCTTCCATAAGACGGGCTGCGCTCTACTCCCCCAGGCCCACCGTGACCCACCACGCCGGGCCGCACTCCTACCCGCAAGTCACTAGTCCCTAGGAAAGGAAAGAAAGACGCGATGCCAACCGAGTGAGGCAATGCGACACTCATGAAAGCCGCAGCAAAAAGCAGCGCAAAAAGCCAAGGTGAATTCCGCAGACACTGCACATGGCCGAAGCCGTGACAGGCCTAACTAAATACGATTCGTCCATTATTCAATCAACAGGAGTACCGCTATCCGGAGGAGTGAAGAGAAGAGAAGAGAAAAGATATTCCATCTAATCTTCGAACCGGTATTGTCATTCCGGCTTCCGGGAAAAGGCGGGAAGCAAGTTTGATTATATACTCCCCTTCCACCCTCGCTAGTGATCCTCGTCGCTCCCATGCGGTTAATCATTATCTCACAACCTCCAAGCTGAATTTACGTCAACCCCGACTAACGCGTCGGTGACCCCCGTTCCATGAGTGATAGGTTGTGACTGATCGCACTAGCGCTAAGTGGCTTAGCCCTATTGTGTGCTCGCATACATTGCGGCCAACAAAAAAAAATATGATATGGTTACACTATCTTACTCCGCCCCATTCAATATGCACGCGAGCGCGCGCAGAAACAAGATTGTGGGGAGGTGGTGGTGGAGGGGATAAAGTTATTGGAATATCAGACATGGCAGTAATGCAATATTACAATTGGGCTGGGGATGGGGGGGTGAGATATATCAAGCTCAAGGAAAATGTATGTACAGCGCATGCAAAGAGATGTAAAAGAAAAATGATTAAATGAAGAAAAACTACCAAGGGAGAAAAAGAACCCCACAGAAAAGTGAAGGAAAAAAAAAAGGGCGATTGAAATGAACTATTCTCATCAAGCTTGTTGCTACAAAGTTTTGGGATTAGATGGTATCTCCCGGCGATTCGCTCCCTCCCTTCTAAGAAACGTCCTCTTTCCCTCCATCCAAACCATTCTTCCATCCCGTACGTGCGTCTCATGCCCCCGTTCATCATTTCATTTCGGCCACAAACTCGGCTAGTTCAATTCCGCCGGCAGAGTAACTGGCTGCTTCGGTTGCTCGGGGTACACAGGTGAGGAGATAGGTGGGACCATAGACTGCCCTTCGGAGCTGTAACTGTGGTGTGCCATCTGTCCTTGATACCCGGGCAATGGACTGTACGGGGTTTGAGCCATGTATTGCGGCTGTTGCTGGGGTGGAGGGCTATACGGTGGCTGCTGCTGGTACGGCATCTGTGTAGGCGGTGGCTGCGCGTACTGTGGCTGCACAGTGGGAGCACCATTACGACTCTTCTTCTTTATGCAGAGGAAGAAGATGAGTGCTCCGACGATAGCAATTCCAGCCAGGCCTGCGATGGCGATACCCGCGATGGCGCCCCCGCCCAACTTCTTTTCGGGGGTGGTTGTCTCGGTGGGATATGGCACCATAGTCGTGCCCGTCCTGGTGGGCCAATTTCCGGCCGAGGACCTGCTGCGGTCAGTCTGCACGGTGACACTCGGGTCATCAATTGACGTGGCTTCGGCCGTCGCTGCGGACGCCGTCACGGTCGAGACGGCGGACTTTGTGTCGCATACTAGCCAGGTCTCGGTGCCACTGGCGAGGACTTCGGTTGCACAGAAGGCTGAGGTTGAGCCACTGGTGGTTGGTTGTTAGTATGAGTGATCTCGAATGCTGACTAGGGAGTATTGTACCATCTGAAACATGCTTGTCCGAGAGTACATCCAGACGCTGTGAAATCATAACACTTTCTCGAGACCGTTGGCATCACCATTGTAGTCCTAGAGAACGAGCCCTTACATGTTAAACACGTTCCTTCAAACCAAAAAAACCGTAGTATGAAAGGAGGGGGTAAAACATACGAGTAGCAGTCGACAAAACCATTGGCAGTGTAACACGCGTTCCCAGTCAGACAACCCCCTAGTAGAAGAGACGATGATTAGCATATGGTACGTAGATTATCACTCGACTCAAGTAGTTAAAATATTAATTAAATTCAACTCACATCCAGCATCCGCATTACAGCACCGACGCGAAGCAACGCAACCCAAAACACCGCAAGCCCTCGACCCAGCACTGCACTGAACGAATTGACGAGGCTGCAGGGCACGACGGTAATCATGCTCGCGCTCCTGCATCGCTCCGAATAACCAGCTGCCATCGACGCCGAGAATGCTACCGAGCCCTAACAGGCTCAGGAGAAGGGTCGCCGAGTTCGTTGGACGGAAACCCATCTTGGGAACAAGTATTAGATTTTTGTCAAATTAATTTCCTTTATTTCTTCCCTTCCACCAGCTCAGCTCAGTCTTGGCAGGAATTATCGATCAGATAATGTCGTGATGGTGAACCGCAGGGAGAATAAACTCGGAAGGGAAAAGGAGGAAAAAGAGGGTCGGGAAGGAAGGAAGGAAAGAGAAGGATCCGAGAGAGAGGGGGAGTAAAGGGGTTTTATTCTTTTTCGCTTGTCTGCCCGCCCACCCTGGACCACTTAGGGAGGTTGTTAGGTTACAGCACCGTCGTCGTACTGTGCTATCATATATCAATCGTACTGCAGGGTACAAGTACCGGTACTGTGATGTGCGGCTTCTCGTTCGATGATAGATACCAGTACAGTACCGCTACACGCCTATCACAAACTCAGCCAGCCAGCCAGCCTCTCTCTCCTATCCTAACCGGGACCCCTTTGTTATATACTTGCACATCTATTTTCCCTGGAGGTCTCCACCAGTGGGCAGATTGCTGGGCCGGCCACCGAAACTGTCTTGCTTCGTATTCGAGGCTCAGACACATGGACCAAGACGGGTGGGCACGCAGAAACAGCAATAAGTGAGCACAACTCAACAACGACTCTGTTTTCAAAAAATGTGGGATCCCTCCTACGAATGAGGAGATTTCTGGGGGTTAATTTTCCTGTTTCAGTCTAATTCATTGGCAGGGGGCAGTCGTGGGCTTGAACACTGGAAAAAGAAGAAGGAAAAAGAACCCTTCCAAGCCTTTCATTGTGCTTTCTCTCTTTCACAGATGTGTAACCACACCTTGTGGTGCAACATTGGATTGGTTCTGGGATCATAGTTCAAGCCGCCACACCACACTGCCTTGTTGCACTCGAATAAGAACGCAAGTGGTCAAGTCAAGTACAAGTACCGTACCGTACGGTAAGTTGGGGAAGTTTTTACAATTATTCCCCTGGAGTGCCTCTCCCCCATCAGTGGAGCGACATATGGACAGCGTAGTGACGTTTTATGTTAACTTAGAAAAGACGGTTCATGGGACCGAAGACCGGCTGAAGGTTCAAGTGGGGGGGTCTTGCTATGCTCGAGTAGAAACAAAATCTGGTTCCCGGTTGGATCCCCTGCGAGCAAATCAATTCCTCATCCCGGCCTGACACAGATGCAACGTTATGATTGGTCAAAGGTTCGCTAAACCGAGCATGCAAAGCCAAATAGGTCTAGAAAACCATTCCAACGACGGGGAAATTCGTGGTGGATGAAGGAGCCATGGATTGCCGTATTCGAGCAGTCTATTTTGGTGCGCATTTTGTGGTGCCGCCTCTTTGCGATGGACCAACCAACCCGCGGGGCCCCATTTTTTTTATAGCTGCCGCTTGCGAGTATTGTGAGATTGGTATGGCCAGCCTTGCGCATCGCTAGAAGCACTTTGGTCAGCTTCTCAGCCGTACCATCACAAACACGCTATTAGGTAGGTGGAGATTTGCGGTTAGGGAGGGCTAAAATACTGGCTTCATATTACCGGTAACACCGGTACAATAGCGTACGGTAGGCGATTTGGCTCTGATCAATGCCTCCCCTAGGTATTGCAACTGTGTGGAAACAGCGGTAACTCGCTCCCCAGTCAGGTAACTCACGTTATGGTTATTTTAAAATCGCCGAGTGCTGCAAAACCTAAAATCAACATTGTTCTAGGAAGCGCATCTGTACTTGTACCGGCTCCTGCATCATACGTTACTTCTAAGCAATACTGTACTAGTGCTTTTTACAGTACCCCGATTTAAGGGATTCTCGTCAGTTGAGTCGAATTCAGAGCGAAGAGAGAGAGCTGGGGGTCATTAGGGCTTTCAAATGCAAAAGTACTCGTACCATTTTGAAGCCCTAAGAAGCTCTGGGTTTTCCCATTCAGACCTTGTCGGCGGTGGCTTGGGAGCCGGGACTGCACCTCTCGCTGCTCTCTGTCTCTCCATCTCCAACCTGGGTTCAACCCAATAGACAAGGATTACCGTGCTATGGTGCGAGAAGGTGGGACGGGTGGGTTCGACCCCCGTGATCACACCATAAAGCCATCCACCAATCATAAAAACTCAACCCCCAATTATTTGCCTTACTTGTAGAAGTCACAGAATCCCAAAAAATTGTGGATCCGAGCCGTGGCTTGTGTGTAAGAAGGAATTTATTTCACCTTCCCGCAACATCTATTAAAAATAAGGATGTTTTAGAGAAACAGCTGACAGCTGACAGGAGTACCTGGTCACCACACATGCCTTTATGCGCATTTTGTTTCGTCCACCCCCTCCCTCCCGGCCCACTCAGTGACCGGCGGTCTACATGTCTGTTGATATGTCCCTCATTAACCTTATGCTGTGGATGTGAGGTGGACCGTAGCTACGCACTACCCGAACTTGCTACCGCGCACTCGCTCGGGCATATCCATTTGAGCCTCCTAAGTTGACTGTGCCCCACGGTAGTGCTGAAGTCCTGAGGCTCATGCAGCAGCGGAAACGGCCTTTATGCTAGCACCAATGCAAGTATCTTGGCGGGGTGGTTTATCCTTTTACCGGCAGTCGGCCGAGTGCTGCGCCTAAAAGCTCTTTGTTTACAAATGTAACGATATCTGGAAAGTACCCTTCCTTAATTGGCAATAAGTTAGTGGTGTCTTGAACCGAGAACTTGTTCCACTGATCTCTTGGGTCCGTGCCATACGAGTACGAGTACCGTACAGTACTCGTAGCTTTTCGGAGAAATAGCGGGTGCCATGTACGCTAGAATGCCCACTTATCGACAGTCTGTGAAGGGATACGATAGAGGAGATGTCCTTCACCAAATTTCGTGAACTAGCGGAGTTTGAACCAGCGAAAACGATTGTGCAGTAGTCTACTGCCCTACTCCGGAGCCTTTATCAAGGGGCCATGTTGATACCAGCACGGGAGGGCACAGTACAAGTACTCGTACAGTGCTTCAGGCCTACCATGGGAGAAGGGATTCATTCCATCCAGCGACTTTCAGATCATGATAACGGTAGTCGAGAGACGTCATAAGCTTGATCCCCGAACGGCCATCGAGATATCGGATGTGCTAGGACGACACAGGTGTCTTCTGGTATGGCACTGTTTTTTGTTTTGTCTCAAGGGAGTGCTGAGTCCGCGATGTCCTCCCGTCGCGTACGGTAGTCATGGGGAGTTCCGACATCCTAGCACATCTATCCACCATTCGAGCACTTACTGCATGGGCGTTAGTGCGAATCTTGCACTCTCCTCGAGTAGGTCATGATAACTCCCAATCGAGGTATGATAGAAGCACTTGCGCTTTGGGGCTGAAATCCTCAAAATCACCCCGCACCCGCTAAGCCACGATAGAAGGGGTGAAAATAAGCGCTGTGGAATGTAGAAAAGTCTCAATGTGATATGTTTAGATGATGGAGTGGTCCATCGTATCGGAGAAACTAGACTACGCGCTGTTCAATATTAAAATCGAGGGATTTCTTAACATGCCGGTATTGAGACAGAGATACTGTATGAAGCTACCGATATTACAAGTGCAGTACAGTACTAGTACAATACCGGCACCTCAGACTTGCAGAAGAACGGGGGGAGGAGGTGATTATTCATGCAGCTTGGTGCATGCTCAACGAGGATAAACTGGAGGAACAAAGAGTTTGATGGAAATTGTAGGGTGTGCGAGGGCATACGAGTACCAGTACAAGTACAGTACTTGTCATTAAGTTAGGGCCAGTATGGTGGCTGTAAGTGGATAATAGCCAACTTTGCACCTCTGATGGTGATACTCATCGCGAAAACCTATTTTGAAGCGGTTGAACGTTTATGCAGGGTCGGGTGTTGAGGCGTTCTCCCTCCAGCATTCTTCAGCAAAAACTTCTGCCTGCCTCCACTCGTTCGGCCCCCTAGCCCGATTCTGGGAAGGGAAAGCTGGAGATTGCTTACCGGTATCCCTTGGGGTGTCTGAAAAGGGAAAATTCATTACGAGCGCTCCAAGTCCAGAGCCAGGTAGCAGCAGCTATTTAAGGGTGAGGAATTTGGCTTCTTTAGTGTCAGAGTGACTCAGCAGCATCATGGAGAGCGCGCGCGCGCGAATGACTCCAAAACAGGATTAGCATGCTGGGTCGCTCTTTCAAACACCCCAAGGGATGGTGACATACGTGTAGTACCGGTATTTTATTTTGTTTTTTGTTTTCTACCTTTTCTTTTTTCCCTTCCTGACTCCTCCAAGTTTTTTTTTGCTGGAATCCCAAATGGGATTGTATGGACTCTAGTCAGGCAGCATGCCCACGATAAGCTACTTGTACATGTACACAGTTGGAAACTCAATACGGTAGGACTATAGTAAAGTCGGGGGGGCGCAACTAGCACGTCACCGGTCCGGGTTTCGGGATTACGGGTGGTACGGGCATCATAGAGCCCAAGTGTCAGCCTCATGAAACCCCGGGGTATGATACCGCAATTTACGGTATCATACTCGTGAGAAACCAAGCACCAAAATGAAAGAATGACAAGCCGGGGGCCTAAGGGTACTTTCCTCGAATAGCGCATGCGTAATCACTGGCGTGCCCGGCTACCCGGGGGGTGCTTTCCTACTCGGAGAGTCTCTCCTACCGGTAGACTATACTGTAGTATTATATGTATTCGGTCGATGGCAACTGCCAGGAGTGGAGTTTCACACTTTGCACGGCATCGGGCACCAAACAATGCCCACGGGTCAATCCACATCTAACGTCCCGGATAATGCCACATACGGCAAACCGGCGAGAAAAACCATCGTTTTCGCCCTCCAAGGTCGAAATAAAGTGCGAGTGGGTGGATTTGTCAACAAATGAGTAATCCTTCTCGGTTAGTTTGTTTGAGCGCCAATATCGGGACCGTAGTTTATCGAAAACGATGCCTTGCGGTAGGGATTTAAATTTATCACTTAACTTGGACTGCGGGGAAGATTTTCCGGTCCTGTTTGAAATCTCTAATATGCTAGCCTCGTGACCACATCTACAGTACTATGGCAATCCTACTTTTTTTTTTTTTTTTTTTTTTTTTTGAAAGTCATTTCTGCCAGAATGGTGATGGGGAGTATGATGACTCGTACAGATTTTGAAGAGTTCTGAGCAGTTACAACTATGCCAAGTCTTGGAGTTTTTTTTTTTTTTTTCTTTTCTTTTCTTTTCTTTCTGACTTGTTCCGATTACCATATTTGTACTTGTAACGGGTTAGCTTATTCCAGATTTTAAACTGGACTGGAAGTTACAGAGGTTTGAGGGGTAAGAGTCTTATCCCATAAAGGTTACTCTTCACTCAAACGGGCTCGCACATTGCGCCACACTTTTTTTCACTCTCGACCTCTGAGGGTGAGAACGAGCTTTTGCCAAATTTTTTTTTTATGGAATGCCGGCCAAAAGGGGTCTTCA